GTGAAATGAAAGAAGGGAATTTGGGAAAGGGTTGTGGTCAGGCTTCTACCCACACCCCTAATATCCCTCTCTCCACATCCCTCTCCTCAGTCTGGGGGGAAGCAGACCCTGGAAAATGGGTAATTCTCCTTCCTAGCTGCTAGCCCTGGTCGGGGAGAGGCAAGGGAAAGCAGGCAAAGTGCCCAGGGAGCACCAGGGTGGCAAGAGGCCTGGGGGATGGTAGGCTCTGGGCTAGGTGCTTTCCAGGACTTCCTCTCTTAAATCACACAACCAGTTGTTGAGGTAGGCAACTCACAGGCGGGTAAACATGCTTAGAGAGGTTAAGTGACTTGTGTAAGGTCAGCCAGAGTGGCAGAGCTGAGATTTGACCCTTCAGACCTCGGGTTCTTTCTACCATCTTTGTGGCCCAGGCAGCTCTCATTTTTTTCTCTAGGTGTGTGACTCTGGGGTATAATGAGTGGATAGTTACAGATACCTGATGCTGGGGAAGGGATGCTGACACCTTCTAGGGATGAGAGAGGCCCCATCGAGCAGGGGTGCATGGCTGGTTGCAGGCATTCCAGCCCCCCACCCTTTCTTCTGCTGTGCTTAGCCTGGGCTCAGTATATGGGAGGTGTGGGCCTGTGGTTCTCTCTCTCTCTCAGGGGAGGGTACCTGTGGGCAGTGGAGGTGGTTGGCATAGGGTGGAGGTTGGATGTGGGTAGTTTGTTTTCCCTCTCTTTGGTGCTGGTTTCGATTCTCTGACAGGGCCTTCTCTACCCCTGCCTGGGTGCAGGGGGCTGGGGCCCAGGTGTCTCCCTGGGCCATGGGTCATGGCTCCTGGAGAACCTTCTGAGGCACGACCCGTGTTCTTTTGTCTCCACCCTCGTCATCCCTGCCTTTGCCCATGCCTGTTTCCTGGTCTGCCTGGCCCTTGGCCCAGTTCTGTGACCTTTACCCCCTCCTGCAGCTCAAGGCCCTTCCCAGGGAGCTGAGTAACTTTGCACTGATGTTTGCAGGCTGAGCTGGGTTAGGCATATTGGAGGCTCTGCAAGGGGTTGGGGAGGCCTTCCAGCTTCTCCCTGGAGTGTGTACCTATGGCTGGCAGGGGGTGGGGGACAGGGGTGGAGAGTGGGAGGTGGGGGTGAATCTTTGGGAAAGTTAAAGTTTGGTCCAATTTCAAACTCTTCAGGGGCAGAGTTAAGGCATTAATTCTGTCTCTTCTTTGGGGGCTAGGGTGGGTTCCAGAAGGTCTAGGCTGGACTGACTGAACCCATTCCCCCCCACCAAAAGCTGGGTCAGGATGCCTGGAGTCTGAAACAAATGGCTTTCTGGGCCTCATCCTTGGTTCAGGAGGCTTTACGTTGGGTTCGCTGCCTCCTGGGCCTCACCTCATGTGGATGTGAATCCACTTGAGTGTTTGTGGACACTGGTGTGTGTTGTGGAAGGTGCTATACACAAGCTGGACCCACAAGGAGGGTCTCAGAGTGTCTGGTGGCAGAAGAAACAAGTTCAGGGGCCATCCTGCCTGTGTATGGACCAGGGAATGTGCATTTTGGGAAATTGTGGGACTGTGGTTGTATGTCTTTGGGGAGCCGAGTACCGGGGCCCGTGCACACAAGTTCTGAACTGTGTTCATTGTGTGGTGGAGCCCAGGTGTGGAGAGATGGTATCTCTAGGTTCCCTCTCCTTATATGCGTGCCCGCACACACACAGGCTGGGGCTGCAAGCATGCTCTTGCCCACCCAGATGTTTTCTATGGACCTGCGTGCGTGAATTTCTGCAAGTGTGTGGTGTGTATTAGTGTGTGAGGGTCCAATTGTAGCCACTGATGAGGTTCAACCAGCCCCTCCTTCCCTTGCCTAGCTCTTTCAGCTCAAGTTCCCATTGTGTGGGGCCCCACAGGGGTGTGGTCAGGTAGGTGGAGCCCCTGTTCTTCTGACGTCAGCCCTCTCAGCCTAGGAGGGAATAGGCAGGGGCCTGGGGAGGGAAGAGGGCACCTGGAGCAAGGATAGACCCCCTGTGGTTGTCATAATGAGTAACAGTAAAAATCATCTTCATTAACAAGGTCCAGATTTTACTACTGGTGTAACTGTCCCCTTCCTAGCCAGTACCTGTCCCCTCCTCTCTTCCTTCCCTCTCTCCCTCAGTTCAGCACAGGCTAGCTGGCTGGCCCAGCTGGGTCCAGAAGCCCTGGCCTCTTCCACAGTGGCCTTGGCAGGAACTCCCCTATCGCAGGCCTGGTCCTCAGCCAAATGCTGGCCATGTGCATGTCCCCTGGACTCCAGGTTTGGGCCTGGAGTCTGGGACTTGGAGCTTGGAACCTGGTATGTCCTGAGCTTGGGGCTGGGGCTGGGGTATAAAGGGTGTTGGAAAGGGACAATTCTTACTTTGGTTCTTTGTGGCCTTGTTTCTTTTCTTCTATTTTTTAAAAACAGCTTTATTGAGATGGAGTTCACATATCATAAAACTCACTTATTAAAGTATACAATTCAGTGATGTTAGTTCAAAGGGTTGTGCAACTACCACCACAGTTAATTTTAGAACATTTTCATCACCCCAAAAGAGTCCCTATACCTATCAACAGCCACTTCCCATTTCCCTCAAATCCACGCCCCAGCCCCTGATAACCACAAGTCTACTTTCTGTCTCTATAGATTTGTGTATCCTGGGCATTTAATATAAATGGAATCATATAATATATGGTTTTTTGTAGTTGGGGTAATGTCTTCAAGGGATATCCATATTGTAGTATTAGTACTTTATTCCTTTTTTTTGGCAGAATAATATTCCATTGCATGGATATATAACATTTTATTTATCCATTCATCGATTGATGATATTTAGATTGCTTCCACTCTTTGTTTTTGTTTTTTGAGACAGAGTGTCACTCTGTTGCCTGGGCTAGAGTGCCGTGGCATCAGCCTAGCTTACAGCAACCTCAAACTCCTGGGTTTAAGCAATCCTCCTGCCTCAACCTCCTGAGTAGCTGGGACTATAGGAATGTACCACCATTCCCAGCTAATTTTGTATATATATATATATATATATATATATATATATATATATATTTTTAGTTGTCCAGCTAATTTCTTTCTACTTATTTTTTTAGTAGAGATGGGGTCTTGCTCTTGCTCAGGCTGGTCTCAAACCCCTGAGCTCAAATGATCCTCCTGCCTTGGCCTCCCAGAGTGATAGGATTACAGGTATGAGCTACCATGCCTGGCCAGGTTCCACGTTTTGGCTATTATGAATAATGCGACTGTGAATATTCATGTATACGTCTTTTTTTTTGTTTGTTTGTTTTTTTGTTTTTTTGTTTTTTTGGTTTTTTTTTTTTTTTTTGAGACAGAGTCTCGCTTTGTTGTCCAGGCTAGAGTGAGTGCCGTGGCGTCAGCCTAGCTCACAGCAACCTCAAACTCCTGGGCTTGAGCGATCCTTCTGCCTCAGCCTCCCGAGTAGCTGGGACTACAGGCATGCACCACCATGCCCGGCTAATTTTTTATATATATATCAGTTGGCCAATTAATTTCTTTCTATTTATAGTAGAGACGGGGTCTCGCTCTTGCTCAGGCTGGTTTTGAACTCCTGACCTTGAGCAATCCGCCCGCCTCGGCCTCCCAAGAGCTAGGATTACAGGCGTGAGCCACCGCGCCCGGCCCATGTATACGTCTTTTTGTGGACTTATGTTGTTACATCTCTTGGGTACATACCCAAGAGTGGAATTGTTGGGTCATATGCTAACTCTATGCTTAACCTTTTAAGGAACTGCCAAACTATTTTCTAAAGCAGCTATTTTACATTCCAACCAGCAATGTACGAGGATTTCAATTTCTCTACACCCTTACCAATACATGTTATTGTCTGTCTTTTTGATTGTAGCCATCCTAGTGGGTGTGAAGTGGTATCTCATTGTGTTTTTCACTGGCTGTGTTTCTTTTTGTCTATCTCTGTCTATCTCTTTTGTCTATCTCTATCTCTTGTGTCTTTCGTGTATGTATATATATATTCATATATAAATACATATATATGTATAGCCTATCCCAGAATGGATTTGAAACATCGTCTTGTGGATCTGTTTCTTGTGTTCTCTCTCTGCTCTCATTACTGCCTGTCTGTCTCACTGTGTCTTGGAGTTTCTGGATTCATCTCTGTCTCTCTCTACGGTATTATCTATGCATATTTTCTGGTCCCAGCTCTTCAGACAGGGTGTGGATCTGTGTACACACTGGTGAGAGGGTGAGAGGGGCATCTGACCTTTCATTTCCCACCCCATTCCATGTATTTTGCATCTGTAGACAGAAGTATGTGGGTGAACTCTTGAGATCAATCTCTCTTGCCCCTTTATTGCCTGGGGGTAGGAGGCTTCCTGGGCAGTCCCTGCCCTCCTACATTGCCTACCCCTAGCTGTTAAGCATTGGACCATCCATCCTGTTTAGCATTGAAGGGGGTGCCTAGGAGTTCTTGGTTCCCATTTCCCTATCTGTGTGTATGTAAATGGGGCTCCTCCCAGGTCTGTGGAACAAACTCATCTGGGGTGCCGGGGCTTCAATTTGGGGGGGAGAAGTGGTGTAAGAGGGGCCCCCCAGCTTAGGAGTCATTTTTCTGAGAAGTGCCCATGCTTTAGGGAAGCGGCTTTTCCTCCCCCTCCCTCTTCCCCCCTCTGCATCTTGACCTCAGGTAACCCCCCCTTGGGGAAGGAGGGCCAGCTGCCTGCTTCTGCTGCAGTGATCCCTTGGGGTGGCACTGTGGACCCTTTCCACTCAGGATTGTGGGTGAGAGGCCCTCCAAGGTTCTGGGCTCTGTCTCTGTCTTCCCAGCCTGGCTGTACTATCCTGCCACCCCCAGCAGTGTCTGGGCCCTGCTCCCAGGTTGTCTCTGCCAGCCAGGCATGGTGCCAGCTGTCTGCTCAGCTGGGTGCCACGGGAAAATCTCCGGCAGCCCAGGTTGGGAAGCTCCACGGGGAATGCCTGTGTGCCTGCTCCTCAGTGCCCACTCACCTGTCTTTCCTCTTTCTGCAGCATCACAGGACATGGCCCCCCCAGCCGCCTAGCCGGGACCCATCTAGGAGTGGCATCCATTTTGGTGCCCTGAAGGCCAGCTCTGGACCTTCCCAGGAAAGTGCCAGCTCACAGAACTGCTTGACCAAAGGACCAGCTCTTGAGACGTCCCCCAACCCCCCGGCCCTCAGCTAGGGTGGGGGCTCCAGGAGGCCGAGATTAGCCTGCCCTCCTTGGACAGCAGCTCCAGGACAGAAGGGGGGGGTGGGCTGACCACCCAAAACCCCCTCTGGGCCCAGGCCTCATGCCCCAAGGAGGGGCGGCCTGAAGCCCGCCAGAGCCCCCTGCCAGACTGTCTGCCTGCCCTTCTGACTGTGGCTGTTTGGCATGGCCAGCAACAGCAGCTCCTGCCCGACACCTGGGGGCGGGCACCTCAATGGGTACCCAGTGCCCCCCTACGCCTTCTTCTTCCCCCCAATGCTGGGTGGACTCTCCCCGCCAGGCGCTCTGACCACTCTCCAGCACCAGCTTCCAGTTAGTGGATATAGCACACCATCCCCAGCCAGTAAGTCTCTGTGTGTTGGGGGATGCTTGGTGGGAGGGGACTGTGGAGGGTGGCAGGCCTCAGGGCTTGGGCTCTGGGCACATTTGTTCTACTGCGGTCGCAGTGCGTGGCGAGTACTTCTCCATTTGAGGGGACCACGATTTGGGGGTCTTGAGGATGAAAGCTCCACAGCTTGTAGGCTGATCATGGTGATTGTGTTTAATGTTGGGGGAGGCAGAGAGAGAGATGAAACCATGCTGTTCTGGCCCGCAATACTCCTTGCAGCCCCTCCTGTGCTCTGCCATTGAGGGCCTTATAAATAGCTCCAAGGACTGGACACAGAGGCCAGAGGCAGGTAAACAAACCTCTCGACATTTGGTGGAAATGACAGCTCTACCAAGGATGAGAGCAGCACCTTCCCATACCCCACCCCCACTAGTGCCTTGGAGGCCTTGAAGGAGTAGACAGAGGTAGTCTGGCTGGAACCTCCTTCTCTCTCCCTGCCAGCTCCACCTCTGGCCGTGCTAGGATGTGCTTCCCTTTGTGGGGAGGGTGATAGGGAGGGACCCACAGGCTAGCCCAGTTGATAGAGTGTCCCAGGAGGGGGCGCTCGGCCTGGACTCTGGCCTTGGACGCATGCATGGTCTTGGCAGGGCCTGTGTTTTCTCCTCTGCCTCTGCCCTCTGCCATGGGGGTCACCCATTGGCTAGGCAAGGGTCTTAGTACCCTTCCCCGGATGGCCTAGCCAGGTAGTGGGAGGTGACGGCGGCTATGGCCAGCTGGCAGAGTCCAGGGCTGGGGCCTGCCAGGCCGCTTACAGTAACTCTGGCCCCCAGGGCCCAGCTGGGCGGCAGGCCAGGGCTGGGGGGAGGAGAGAGCCAGGGCCTGGCCTGGGGTGGGAGGGGTGGAAGCAGCAGAATGGGCCATGGCCGGCTGGCTGGCTGGCTGGTCAGCTGCTGACCTGGGAAACGTGTCCCACCTCTCCTGGCTAGCAGGGACTGAACGCCCTGCCCCGGGCACCCACCACCCCTCCCACGACCACTGGCAAACTGCCTGGCACCACTGCCCTGAGCACTCGGCTGGGCTGGGTCAGTACCCCCTTCTCGGTGTGGGGGCAGCGCTCTCTCCCCGGAGCCAGGGAGTCTCTTTGTCCCAGGGGCAGGCCCTGGCAGGGTGCCTCGCTGCCCACACTGGCTGGCTGCCCACCACCACCACTGCTTCCTGGATCGCCTCCTCTGGCTTTGCCACAGCCCCCTCCCTCCCAGGCCCCACCAGCCGCCAGGAGCAGGGATGTTATGTCTGTACTCCTTTATGCCCCCAACTCTTTATGCCCTGAGGCCAGGCAGATGCTGCCTCAGTTTCCCTGATACCCTTTTTCAAACCTTCATCTGTTTCCTCCCTCTCTCCCTTCTACCTCATGTAGTAGTGTGAGGTGGACAGCGTCTGGAGACCCTGATTCTGGTCTGGTCTTTTAGTCTATGCTAATGCGGGGGGGGGAGGCTGGCCTCTGGAGTTCAGGGTTGCTTGGGAATGGGTGTGTGTATCAGTGTGGAATTTTTGCTGTATTTAAAGCGACTGGGATTCATATTTTGAGCTTGGGTCACGGGAGCTGGAAGAATGTCTGCTTCCTGCTAGTGGGGTTTCTAATGAGGGAGGAGTTGAGGGTCTACAACCTGGTGCCTATGGACAACTTGTCCTCCCCCAGGTGATGGGAACAGAGCTCCCAGACACTCTGTCCACCTGGAGCCTGGACTCATCAGTTGGTTGGAGGTGGGGGCTGGGGCCTGGCCCTGTCCTGTGCCCGTTCTGTGCCAGACTGAGCAAATGCTTTGCCCTGCCCTGAATGTTGCAAGCTTCTTCCTCTTTCTTAGAGGTGGGTGGGGAGGGCTTCCCACCCTGGTAACCTTCTCTCCTCAGGGTGGGGTGCCCACATTTCAGGCAAGTGTAGTCTTCTTTGGCTTTCCCCACCCAGGTTAGGCAATACCCCCTTCCTGCCCCCTCCCTCTGTGAGCCCCTGGGTTTTTCTGTTCCTCCCCCCTTCCTAGTAAACAACAACAACTCATCTTCCTATCCCGACCCCCAGCATCTGAGCTTCTCTCTGACCTTCCTCTGCTCTGGGACCAGAGGCGTGGCCATGGGCCTCCCTCCTCTTGCAGGGCTGGGGTTCCTGGTGACTAGAGCTCCTTAGCTCTCCGTAGGAAAGCATGACATGTCTGGCCTCAGCGATGGAGGCAGCTTAGCTTCCCCTGGCTTGGGGCTGGCCCTGGGGGTCAGGCAGTTCCTAAGAGCGGTAGTAATCAGTGGCACTACGTTTCTGCAGGGAACAATGATATGCTCTGGTCCTCTGCCACCCTTTTTGTAGGAAACCTCACTGATGAGGCTTCCTCCTCCCAGTCCCTGCCAAAGGAAAGTGTTGGGTCTTTCCTACCCCCTCATCCCTCTCCCTGGGTGGGAAGGAGGCAGTGCCTTAGGTGACCTGGGTGTGACCTTCAGATACCTAGTGGCCTGTGGGACAACAGAAATCATCTCCAGGTCACTGTGGGGAGGGATGAGTATTTGTCCTGCTACAGTCTCCAAGGGAGCCAGGGTGGGAGCCCCAGAGATAGTACAGGGATTCTCCCCTCCCCCCAGGCCAGCCCCTGGGCTTGGTCTCTGAGGACTGGTGTTTACCGTGGAGGTTTGGGATTCTGTGTGCATTCTGGGGAGGGTCAGGGTTGTGTGTGTTTTAGGGGTGAGGGGGGTCAAGGTTGGATGTGTTGTTGGGAAGGGGATTAATGGCTTATGTACATTGGGTGAGAGGTGAATGTGTTTGGGGAGAATCAAATCTGGAGCTGGGGAGGGGATGTTAGCTTGTTCGCTGCTGGAACTGGGAGGGGGTGTGACTTAGGACACAGAGTGGTTAAGGGGCGTAGGCTTCAGATTGTGTTGTTTGGGAGGGAAGTATCTCTATTTCTTATGGCTCTTCTAGGCTGGACGGGAGAGCTAATCTGCCTTTTTTGCTGCTCACACTGGGAATTCCACGGGCAAAGGGGTCTGGGGGCTGTGGAGTAGGCAGGCTTCACAGTTAAAACTTGGACCTTTGTGCCACTTACTGTGTGCTGACAACCTCTCTGAGCATGTTTCCTCATCTGTAAAACAAGGATATTACCAGAACCCCTCAGAGGGCTTCGAATTAGGCAAGATCATCGACTAATGCACTTAGCTCCCTGCCTTGCATGTGACATGGTGTCGTGGGACCTAGGCCCTTTGTAAATGCGAGCTGGAGAGAATGGGATGCTAACATCTGTGGAGCTCCCACTGTGTGTCAGCGACTTTAATCTGTGATTTACAAATCTTAAACCCTACCATACTGGAAGAGAGACATTATCCTCCGCATTTACACACAGGAAACTGTGCTGGGGGAGGTTAAGGTACCTCCGCTCAGAATTGGGCCTGTAAAATTGCAAAGCTGGGCTGTTTTCCGCCATCCAGATAGGCAGCTTTGGGAGGGGATTGTGGGGGGTGCTCCAGAATGTGGGGAGAGGATAGGGAGCAGGGGTTAGTGCCAATGTTGAACCACCTCCCCCAATTGCTGAGGCCTTGTCTCTGCCTTAGAACCTCCCGCCTTCCCCCAGTAGGGGGCGTAGGGAAGGTCCCCCCAAGCCACGCCCCCTCCACTCTGTTTTGGATCCTGAATGTTGGAGGAAAGAGAGATAAGAGGCCTGGGCCAGATCGCCATCCTGTCCAGGAAGCTGTGGATACAATCTGTTCACACCCATCCCTACCCCCAAATCTGCCCGCTGCAGCCCATGGGAGTTTGCAGAGCTCAGTGAGCACCCTCCCCACATCTTCAGACAGACACTGAAGGAACAGAGTGTAAAAGCCACAGTTTTTATTCTTATTTTGTTTCAATTTATGAGTGGGGGCGGAGAAGTTGGAAGCAATCAATAGAGGAGCCAGGGATGGGAGCCCCAAAAGGGTGGCTGCAGATTTCCAGTCCACATATTTGCTGCGTGTGCCTAGTGACTGGGGAATGGCTTGAGGGTCTGGGTGAACCTTGCAGGAGAGGAGAAGGGTGTGCCCTTCTCTTCTTCCTCTTCTCTGCCTTTTCCTCCCCTTTCAGTTTGTGCATCCTCCCTCTCTCCCTTCTTCCCACTCTTTCCCTGGACAATAGGAGGGATAGCCCAGGGAGAGGGGTACTACCTAGCAATGCCTTTCCTGTAGTCCAAAGTGCAGAGTCAGACAACAGATCATTACTTGGGGTTTTAAATGAAAATGGGACCCCTTACCTATTATCTCCCACCAAGGATAATGCACAAGCCCTCTTAGGGCAGGATCCCAGCATAGACTAGGGGAGGGGACCCAGGGAAGGAAGCCGGTCTTCCTCTTGGGCGGGTCAGGGCCCGAAACATTGTGTCCACCCCATGCCTCGGGATGTGTGCCCATGGGGCTGTGCCAGTGCAGGCCCTAACTGCCCTTTTCGGGGTAGTGTCTGTGGGAAGAGGAAGTGGTTCCCTTCTCTAAATCATTTCAGGGTGGTGCCTTCCTCTTCCTCACCCTTCATGGAGTAGGAGCACAGCCAGTGAGTTGGGTTTCCCAGGGTAGACTGGAGGCCACTCAGCCCTGGTTAAGCCAAAAATAGAGGCCCTCCCCTCCCCAATTTGACTTCTGGGTTGCTAGAAACCTCAGCCAGCTCACAAACCAAGATGACCCCCCCAAGTCTTAAAGGACAGCTTTTCTTGTGCGGCCTCAGGCAGGTCACCCAACCTTTCTCTGAATCTGTTTCCTCCTCTTTAAAGCAAGACATCTAATCTGTCTCTGGTTGGGTGAGTTGCTTTTAGGCCATGGTGACCTGCTTTCTGGTGAAAGACTTGGTTAGCTCCAAGTACCCTACAAGGACAGGGATGATGAGGGGTGGGGTGGAGCTGGGCATTGTCTTGGGGGATGGCCACGTTGCACTGGGACCCAGTGTCCACCTGGCATTGGTCTCATATCCCGTTAATTATCCCCTCCAGATGGGGTTGGGGACAGTAGGGATCCCTGCTTGGCACAAGGAGGGGCCAGTTCAACCCACACCTGCTGAGGGTTTACTAAGCACAAGCCTCGAGAAGGACCTGGATGGGGATAAGGCTGAGCAGGACAGGGCCTCAGGCCTGTAGACAGCTGCCACCAGAGGTTCCCCACCCCTGGCTGCTGCTTGGAGCCTTCCTTTGTCCCTCTTCTCCCACTGCTTCAGGATACTGGGCTCTGCTCTGACCTGCCCCATGACCTTGGTGTTGCTTAGAACAGGCCTCTCCAGCTTCTCTCTAGCTTCAGAAATCCTATCCATCCTTCAGGAAACATCTTGAATGCCACCTCTTCTCAGAAACCTTCACAGATGTTCTTCCTTCCTTCCACGCTCTCCCTCCCTCCTTAGTATGCTTGTGGGTCCTTATTTATTTACTTATTTATTTTTCCAACACTCTTCTCTCTACCATGAAGTTACTTCTTCAATGTTCTTGTCATGAACTGTAATCATGTGGGAGATCTTTTCCTGACCACAAGATCTTTGATGGCAGGGACAGAGTCTGAGGTCCCTGAGCACCTTGAACCTATGAGCACAGAGCCTAGCATGTAACTGGTGCCCAGGAGCTCCATCATTTGAGAGGGAAGATACCAAGAGCATGGAAGCACTCTCTCCTCTTCCCTAGCGGCCCCATCCACTGTCAAGACTTGCATCCCTGCCCCAGACGCCAGCATTCCATCTGACTTTACTTCAGAGCCCCACACCCACCTGTGCAGTGGCCCAGTGGACTTCTCTACTTTGCAGTCTCAGGAACGTCACTGTTGCATAAGCTGCACATCAGAGAGTCCTCTCTGCTACCTTCATTCCCATCCTCCCATTGATTCTACCTTTAAAATACCGGTGAGGTATTTTATATATTGCTGAGGCCAGGAGCGGTGACTCACACCTTAGGCGGAAGGACTACTTGAGCCCAGGAGTCTTAGGTTTCAGTGAGCTGTGATTATGCCACTGCACTCCAGCCTGGGTGACACTGTGAGACCTTGTCTCATAAAAAAAAATTCTGGTGAATCCACTTTCCTCTCTCCATCAGCAATGCCAGTGTCATAGGCTAAGCCATCCTGACTACTGCAGTGGCTTCTAACGGGTCTCTTTCATCCTCCTATAATTCATTCTTCACACAGCTGCTGAAAAGATCTTTTTTTTTTTTTTTTTTTTTTGAGACAGAGTCTCACTTTTGTTGCCTGGGCTAGAGTGGAGCTGCCGTGGCGTCAGCCTAGCTCACAGCAACCTCAAACTCCTGAGCTCAAGCGATCCTACTGCCTCAGCCTCCCAAGTAGCTGGGACTACAGGCATGCACCACCATGCCCGGCTGATTTTTTCTATATATATTAGTTAGCCAATTAATTTCTTTCTATTTATAGTGGAGACGGGGTCTCGCTCTTGCTCACGCTGGTTTCGAACTCCTGACCTTGAGCCATCCGCCCAGCCTCCCAGAGTGCTAGGATTACAGGCGTGAGCCACCATGCCCAGCCTTGAAAAGATCTTTTTACACTGTAAATCAGAACTTGCTTCTCCTCTGCTTAGAACTTTTCTATGGCTTCTGCTTGCATTTAGGATAAAATCCAAAAGCCTTATTCAGTTGAGACCTTTAGGCCTTCCTGGTGGGCCTTAGTTCACCTCTCCAGCCTGCACTTTTCCCTCTTGAATTTTATGCTCCATCCTTCTTAATCTTCTGTCAGTTCCTTGAATGAATTCACCAACTTCTGTAACCCCAGGACCTTTGCATATGCTCTTTTTTTACTGGGCCTGCAGTCCTTTCTACTCTTTGCCTAATTCACTTCTAAACTTTTACTCTTTAAGTCTCTGCTTTATTTGGGTTCTTTCCTAATTCAGTTCAACCTAAATTAGGTACCTGTGTTAATTCTCCTTAAGAGCATATAACACTTGTGTCATAATACCACTTATCTCAGTTTGCAATTAAATATGTATATATTTGTGATTATTTGTTTAATGGCTATTGCTCCGTAGGGTCTACAGGGGCAAGCTCACCAGGATATCCATATAGAGGCGCTCAGAAAATACAGTTTTTCTTGAATTGGCCTGGCTTGGTGGGAATATGGGCTTTGGCAGCATGAAGTTCAAATACCAGCTCTATCCTTTATGTCAGTAGTGTGATCTTGGACAACCCACATAGCCTTGCTGAGACCTCATTTTGTTTATTTGTAAAAGTTATCTCTTGGAGTTGCTGTAGAATTAAATGACAACATATGTAAAGAACCTGGCTTCTAGAAGAATATCCATGGGTAGCATGTAAATTTCCATCCATTCCTTTAAGAGAGCAGGGTAGGAAACCCCTTCCTTCAGGGGTATCCCCTCTTTCTAGGGACCTATCCAAGCTAGGCCTTTCTTCTAATGAAACAGGCATCCCGAGGGCTTCCGGGATGAAGTGATCAGCTGGGAGGCACCAGACCCTTCTTTGATCTCTCCTGGGCTGGATGGTGCAGCGGAGGCCTATCCTGGTTCCCCAGCTGGGAGACACCCTGGGCGGGGCTTTGCTCACCGGAAGCACGCGGAGTGTGGGGAGGAGAGCCCCCTCTGCTATGTATGTGCCAACAACACCAGCGCTGCCGCGTCGGGTTCCGGTGGCCCCAGTCACACATGATGTCACAGACAATGACACAACCCGGGTGTCTCAATCCGACACAGCACTCAAGCTGCACAATGTCACACCCAGGACACCCGGCACGCTGCGTTCACACTTGGCCACACGCGCCTCAGCCCTAGTCTTCCTGCGGCCGCTCTCGGCGTCTCCGCCAGAGCTGGCCCGGCCGAGTCGGGCAAGGGGCCGGCGGGCGAGCCCTCGGGCAGGCTGGCGACCGGGTGATGTCACGGGCAGCGGTGGGTGGGTCACTCGGAGGTGAGGCGCCGCCAGGCGAGTTCAGCGAGAGTTCAGCCGCATTGCATTAGGCAAATGAGGTCCGGCCTGGGTCGGGGTGTGTGCTAAGGGGAGGACATCGGGACCACCCCCCTCTTCTCCGCCTCACCACCTCCCGTGTCCGGCTTCACCCTGCCGGGGATTGACCAAACCATTGGGGAGGCTTGGAACCGGAACTGGGATGGGGGAAGACGCCCGCCCCTCTTCCGTCCTGTCCTCCGCCCCCACCTCTCCCCGTACCCTGCTTCGGTCTGCACTCTGCGTGCTCCTCCTCTGGTGCCTTTGCCCTTCCTTCTCTTCTCTCCTCCCCCTTCTCAGGCTCCCCCACTCGCCTGTCCACATGCAGCCTCGCCCTCTCGGTTCCCAGCGTTTCGCTCGCTGCCGCCAGACCCACCAGGAATGGGTTAAGCCAGGGGCGGTGCCTGGGTGGGGCGGGGCACAGAGAAGGGGGTGGGACCCTCAGGGGAAGGGGGCGCGCAGGGCTGGAGAGGGGGTTGCGCTGGCTTGGGGTGGGGGGGCAGCGGCGCGCGCCACCGGGGAGACCGAGCGAGCCGCCGGCTGCCCCGGGCCTGGCGGAGGCGGAGCCGCGGGGGTCACCACCTCCGCCCGGAATCCTCGCCTGGGAGAAGCCGGGAGCCCCGGCGGGGAGGAGGAAGTGCTCGTTGACCCCCCCACCCCCGCCCTACGCTGATCCCGCCTCCGGCCTGCGGACTTGGGGAGCCGCTGGACTCTGCCTCGGACACCATGAGACTCGAGACTGGAGCCCCTTCGCGGGGAAGCCGCTGAGTGCCCTGGGCCCGCCGGGCGTTCTCCGCGAGAGCAGAAGAACCCCCCTTCCAAGCACAGGCAACTTTCCCCGCTTTTCACCCGGACTGGCGGAGCGGCCGGTGGACTTAGACGTGGGGGACTTCAGGGCAGGGGGAGCCCCCCTGCCCTGGTCGCCAGTCGGGGCGAGCGTCCCCTCGCCCCCAGCTGCTCTGCTCCGATGGCGCCGCCGGCTGAGTGAGGGGGGCAGCGCGCAGGACTTCCCCGCCAGGACCTCTTGCCTTCGCGGGGGAAGATGTACGAGAGTGTGGAAGTGGGGGGGCTCACCCCCACGCCTAACCCCTTCCTAGTGGTGGATTTTTATAACCAGAACCGGGCTTGTTTGCTCCCGGAAAAGGGGCTCCCCGCCCCTGGTCCCTACTCCACCCCGCTCCGGACTCCGCTTTGGAATGGCTCAAACCACTGTACGTACTGGTCTCTCCCTCTGCTGTTGTAAGGGTGAGGGTGGGCGGTGGGTTTCCATTCTTACCAGGGATGCAAGCCCGGGGGCATGCTGGGGGTCTTATTCTAACTCTTCACCTAGCCCATGTGTCTTTGCTGGACAATTGGACGCTCGCCTGGAGTAACCCTGGGTGCTCCTTCTGTTGTATTAGGACTGAGGAACTTTAAGCTTCCTTCTTTCAGGAAACATTCCTTCATCTCTTCTTCCACTTCTTCCAGAGGAAATGAAGCCCAAGTCTCTTGCCCCCAATTTATATCTTCTTGCTTGGAATCCAATAGCTTCACAGTAGGCACGAGGGTGGGGTAAAGGTCTTGTCAGGGGCTTGTCTACTCAGAGGAGGAGGAACCCCCTCCTGAGATCCCACTCCTGCCTAAGCTTGAAGGAGAGCCTGCTCCTGTGTGCCAGCTGCTGTCCCCAGCCCCTGTGTCACTAGAGTGGGTGCCAGGGGAGTGCCTTTTGGTGTTGACAGGTGTGGCAGAAAGGGGCAACTTCATCAGACACCTACCTGGCTGCCATCCTAACCCCAGCCTTATATCTTGGGGAGGGGCACTTGGTCCATCTTGGGGTTGTCCTGGCCTGATACTTTGAGTCTTCTGTTCCCAGGAATGGAAGGGAGAAGTTGCTCTGATTGGAGGAATCCCTCTCCCCCTAATCCTAATCCAGTTTGTTCTCCAGAGAATGAGTTTGTTTATTGTGGGTCCGGGGCTGCTCTGGAAATGAGGACTGCATCCCCTCCCAACCCCACCGCCAAGTCCTTTTGTTACCCTGCCTTCACTTGGGGATAGGGCCAGGGCCTGGACTGTTCCTTCCTAAGAGGGGTGCTGATGAGAACCCTAGTGTCCTGGCAGCTTGATCACCTTTTCTCCTTGCTGCCCCCGCCTGGGTTCAGGCTCCTCTAGGAGGGAGGGGTTCTATGCACGCTCAGGTGCTGTGAGTGCCCAGAGTGCACACCTGGGCATTTTTTGTGCCCAGCTATAAGGCTGTGTGTATTGGTAGGTGGGAGCAGGCGCTAGGTTATTGTTGGATGGCTGGGGTTTCTTTCCCTACCCTGCTTTGGGTTCAGCTCTTCCTGAAGGTTATCCCACTCTCCCAACCTGCTGCCTTCCTCCTGCTTCCCAGGGAGGAGGGTGTGGAGTGGATCTCTGGGGGCCTGGCAGATTGGAGAAGGTTGAAAGGCAAAGGATTTATCCCACCCAAAGCCCCTCTTGCTCAGAGAGACCTGAGGTGGACAGTCAGCCCACCTCTGCCCTCCCAGAACCACCTCAACGCCAGCCTTTCCTATTGTCCTGCCCCCCTGACCTTTACCCCTGGGGCTGAATCTGCTATGAGGCTGCAGACATGGGAGGGAGAGGGTGTGAGCGGCAGACCGTTGACTTTGGCAAAAGAGAGAGGGTGACACTGGGACCCTTTCCATTCTCCCAGTGCTGGAGGAAGGCCCCCCCAATGGGATAATTGGGGCTGAGCTGCCAGGGTCACCCCTTCCACTGCCTTGACCACTTTCTCCAGAGGACTGGAGGGAAGGAAGCTAGGATCTGAGACCTTGGATCTAGCCCTTGTCTCTTCTTTAGTCCATGGGGACAGCTCAGCTCTTCCTGGCCCAGAACTGGAGGCGAGGAGGAGGATCAGAGTCTGACAGGCAGTGGATTTGGTAGATTTCATGAGTCCTGCATGCCCCAAACCAGTTGACATGTAGAAGTGGAGACCTGTCCCCCACCCAGTATGGGGTGGGGTAGACCTAAAGGCCTCGGCTCCCAGTTCCTATAGATGGAGTGGAGGGGTGTGTATATGTTGGTGGGGTGCCAGTGGACTCAGGTCCTAAGGCTTTGGGTTGGGCATGATAGGGGTGTGGGGGCTGTCTGAGGCACAGAAGGACCTGGAGTCTGAGAGTGGTGAGTAGACCCTGTCTAGAGGACATGGGGCCAATATCACTACCTTGGAAAGAACCCCTTGGTATATGGAGGTCCTCTGGTGACTGGACCCACTTTCCAGCCCCCTCTTGGCGAATTTTCCACTCTGCCCTTCACCTCCAAGGAAGACGGAAAGAGAGAGCAGGTTGGCTGTGGGAGGAGGTGGTCCCCTGGGTCCTGCAGGGCCCTGAGGAATCTTGCCTCCCTCCCCAGAAATCCTGTTTTGGTGCATTAGAGGACAAGGGGTGCACAGGATGTGGCTCCCCATCTGTCCCCCACCAATCTCCGCCACTCACGCCTCCGCCTGCTCCCAGACGTCCAAGAATGTGAAGCACGTGGATGCTCGTAGTGGGGGGAGGGGGAGAGATGCTTATCAGGCAGGCTGGGCTAGGGGCCTTCTTCCGCAGCCTGCCAGCGCTACACCCAGAGCCACCCCCACCCGCTCCCCAGGAGGAGGAAGGGCGGTACAGAGGGCCCTGCACCCCCTCCCCAACCGTCCCCAGGGGTTTTGAGGAGGAGCGGGCGCCAGCTGGATTGGGAGGGGAGCGCTGGCCAGGGGCCCGGCTGATTTCCTGCTGATCTCCTCCAGGAAACCGGCCCCTTGTGCGAGCCTGCAAACGGCTCAGGGGCGTGGGGAATCCAGAGCGCTCTGCGCCGACCGGGATGGGGGAACGAGGGAGGGGCACCCTGGCAGCGTTGGCGGGAGGGGACGCCTGGCTTCCTGGGCTGGTTCCAGCCCTGGCTGAGCGCTGGAACTTTGAGCTGAGTAGGTGTGGTCCTTCTCCAGCCCTCTTGAGTCCTTCTGCAGTAAGAGATTTGTGGGCTGGGACCTCTGGGGAGGGACGTTAGTGGGGAGGGGCCCAGCCAGGGCTGTCCCTCCTCCTCCACCTGTGTGTGCAGGGAGTTATAGCTATGTCCTAACTTGCAGAGGCTGTGAGGGTCCTGGAGTTCCTCATGCCTTTGCCTTGGTCCTTCTACCTCACCTAGGCTGCTGGCTGGAGGCCTAGAGAGGTGGGGACTGGGCCTCAAGCTCTGGGTTCAAAGGGCAGAGCAGGAAACCTCAGATCTGGGTTACCTGGGTGACAGGTGAGGATGGGGTAAGGGTGTAGACTGTGTTACCACCTGAAAGGCAGCCAGCCCTGTAGGGTGGGCTGAAAAGAGGCCTCACCCAGCCCAACTGTAGCCCCTGCCTCGGGTCATCTTTCCCCTCCTGCCAAAAAATAATTTTAAAAAGCACATTCTTTCAGTTCTATAAACACTCCCTGGACTTTACTTTGGTTCCAAATTTCGATGGCTCTTTGTCTCTCTAGTCCATCCCTGACCTTAGAGCTGTTGCCCCTTGCCTCAGTATCCTGTGTCTCCCCATGCCCATCTGCCTGCCCTCCTCCTCCCCTCTGTACCCCAAAACGCCTTCAGTCCTTGCTCCCTCTCCAGTCTGGTTCACTTTAGAGGTGGGACCTTAGGAGAGGCAGGGCCAAGGGCAAAGGGTGGATTAGGAGGGAGGAGAGGTCAATGGCTTTTTCCTCTGCTTGTTGGAATGCTGAGCAGGATTCTAGGCCATGGTCCCCCCACCACCACACCCCCTTGTCCTTGACATCCCCCCACCAGTCTGGATTGTCTATTGTTACTGCTTTTACGTCTTGGAAAAAGTTAGCACAACAAAGGGCTCCTTTGTGGCTCACCCCCTCTGCCTCCTGGCCTCACCCAGGCCCCCCAAGCCCGCCCCCCCCACCCCAGCAGCTGTTCTCTGGTCTCTGGCCTGTCTGATTTGCTTGTCTGGCCTGGGGAGAATGAGGTGGGAGAAAACCAGGCCAGGGCGGCTGGGGGAGGTCAGTGAAGAGTCTGCCTGACTGATAGGGGTGTGGACATGGATGGTCCCTTTGCTTCAGGCCGATCTCTGGACAGGGGAGGGGACCTCGGGCCTCAGCAGTGCTGGTCAGCAGGCTGATCAGGGAACTGGTGCCCAGGCCCTACTAAGAGCCAAGAAGGCCCTGCCGAGGTTGTTAGCCTGGTTCCCCATCATCAGCCGCCTGGCAGCTCCTGGTGTGTCTGCAGGTAAGCGGGAGGGTGGTAGCACACAGCCAGCCCCCAATGTGCCCACAGTTTCTTCCTCTGTGCGTGGACATGGGGGCCATGTGACTCATGGCTGTATGGTGCTTGGGCCGGGAAAATGCCAGAACCTCACATAATTGGGGTGTTAGGTAGGATTCTGAGTATGGGAAGAGGCAGGGCCCTTTCTGCTCAGGGAGGCATCCTCGCCCATCCTTGGCCTCGGACAAGTGAATCTGGCAAGGGCTTCAGGAGGATGCTAGGCAGCCCCTTGAGAATCTGGGATTGCCTCAGTCATAGTTCTTATCTAGCACCCTACACCCCAGCTGCCCAGGCTTGGGGACAGACAGACAGCTCCCACCCAGCCCAGCCTATTCTGCCTGGGGTGATGGGCATGGAGCCATGCACTGGGGAGGTTTTAGCCAATGGGGGCTGCCCCTATTGGCTGGGTCACCCCTCCTGGCTGCCCTCTTGGAGCTGAATAGCAGGAGGGGAGGGGATAGTAACCCGGACATAGTATTGAGGCCAGACAGACAGAGCATTGATAGGAACAGACCCCCTTTGTCACGCCTTCCCCCCTCCAGACAGGGGTACCCAGAATGATTGGCTTCTGGGGCCAGGGGGGACTTCTTTCTGTGTTCAGAGGGTCCCCCTACCCATCCCAGGGAGTCCCTGCCTGCTGTGCCCCAACATTTGTGACTCTTCTTTGCACACCCTGCCTTGGGTCCCTGGCCAGGGGATTGTTTGGGTGGAGGAGGGGTTGTGGCTGCTGGCAGAAAGGGGTGGAGGGGGAACGGAAGCAGAGGGGGCGGGGGAGTGGCCGCCTTTGAATATCCTGTTGACCCCAGTTTCCTCTGCCCCCAGCTTGTGTCCTCTTCCCTCCCTCCTCTTCAGGCCTTAACTCCTTGTTAACTTGGGGGAGAAGGGAGCCAGGCTGCCCAGGGCAGGGCTTTAGAATCAGTCTGACTCCCTCCTCAGTTCCCCAAGTATCGTCATGGCACATGTACAAATCTGCTAGTGTGTAATCTGCTCTTTCTGGTTGTGAAGGTGGGAATCCTGGGGAGACAGGAGTGGTGGGGTGTTGCAGGCTCCATTGGCAGCCTCCTTCCCGGAGTCTGGCTGAGGAGTCCCGGCTTTTCTGAGACATCCCTGCTCCACAGTTTGAATCCTGCCAGCGATGGGGAGGCTGGGAGAGGCTCCAGGGAGAGACCATGAGGCAGGGCGGGGCACGGTATTAAGGATGGTGACCCTAGGTCTCTAACTGCCCCTTCACTTTCTTTTCTCTAGCCATCGAGACCCAGAGCAGCAGTTCAGAAGAGATAGTGCCCAGCCCACCCTCGCCACCTCCCCTCCCCCGCATCTATAAGCCTTGCTTTGTCTGTCAAGACAAATCCTCAGGCTACCACTATGGGGTCAGCGCCTGTGAGGGCTGCAAGGTGAGTCCAGGGGGTCACTGGGAAGGGCAGTCTTGACTGGGTAAATGGGATGTCCCACTTCCATTTCCTGGGAATATGTAGTTGGGGGTGGGAGGATGTTCCTGAAGCTGCTGCTGCTGTTTCTCTGTGGAAGCTGGCAGCAGCCTTGGAGGAGGAAGGGGCACCTGCAGTAGAACCTCTGCCATGAAGGAGCAGGGCTCCCCCAAACCAGACGTCCCGTCCTGCCTCATCTCTTCTCCCTGTTTCCATCCTCCAGCTGGCAGGGCCTACGCCCGCTCTGCCACCGCTGCCCATGTTGCCATGGTGAGCTGGCTGCCGACAGGCTCTTGGCTGGGGACCCAGGAGGCCTGCCCCCGGCGGCCCTGCCTGAACCTTGCCATGGTAGCCTGGCAGGAGGCAGTTAGGAGCAGGCACCCTGCTTTGGTCTCCCTCCCCTTCAGTGCCCAGGCTGTGGGCTCCCCGGTGTCTGGCTGGATTCCCCCACCCTCATGTTAGGCTGCCAGGGTGCACATGTAGCTGGACCTCAGCAGCTCTGGGCCTGGCTTCTTCATCCCTAGGGCTTGAGCCTCTGTACTGGTTTCTTCCTCCAGAGGCTAGGGCTCAGAAAGGCACAGCTTTGGGACTTGGGGCTCTGGGCTGCCCCTCAACCTGGAGTAGGTATCCCCGGGTGTGGCACAAAGGTCAAGGGCAAAGCACAAGGCCCCAGGCTGTGTATCTGTCTGGTTGTTCCTGGCTGGTTCTGGTTTCTCCCTCTGGTTAGCCTGTATGAAGAGCCCCTGATCAGCCTGGGTCTGTCTCTGTGAGTGGTCAGTGCACATCTCTCTGGTTGGTGAATCTTCCTGTCTCCTGAGTGTGTATGAGTGTGCGTCTGCACCTCCGTCTAGCTGGCCAGCTTGTGTGTCTGCCTTCTTGGCTTCTTCCTGCTTGTCTTCTCTTCCTATGTTCTGAGTTCAGGACTGTAGGTTCCAGACCTTTGCTTCTCTCGTGTGTAGCCCCGTGCCTTCCTACTCGAGCAGCCCTGGGGTCCTTTTCCTTAGAAGGGAGAAGTCAGGTATGTGGGTGCAGGGTGAGTGAAGACTCGCCCCCCACCCTACAGCATGGAGGGAGGTACTGGGATTCTCCTGAGGATGCCACTAGGTGAATCATTCTCCCCACCTTTTCTGGCCTGCTCAGGTAGGTGTTGAGCAAACGCTTGGGGGCACAGCTGGCCTGGCCCTCTCCCCCGAGGCTGGGACCACGGGCTGGGCACCACCCCCACTGTGGGTATTGGTGACCTGACTCCCTCCCTTCTATTCCCAGGGCTTCTTCCGCCGCAGCATCCAGAAGAACATGGTGTACACGTGTCACCGGGACAAGAACTGCATCATCAACAAAGTGACCCGGAACCGCTGCCAGTACTGCCGGCTGCAGAAGTGCTTCGAAGTGGGCATGTCCAAGGAGTGTGAGTGCTGCAGGGCCAGGGGCCGGGGGCTGAGCCCTGGCCTAGGTGGGGCTTAAGGTGCTCCTAGCACCCAGGGAGCAGAGCTCTGTGGATGTGTGTGCACACATGTGAACATAGATGCTGTGGCGTGCAGGCTTGTGGTTACGGATGGTTTGCGTGTGGCTGTCAGGACCTGTCTGGCTGTGTGTCTGTGGTGAGCGGGTCGGTGCTCAGGTACGATACATGTGACTGTTCCTGTGTGTGCATGTCTGGCTGTGTGAGCTTGCACACGTGTGCATGTGTGTCTGCTCCCAGGATGGCTTTCTGCCAGGCCCTGCGTGGCTCGGGCATGGGGCTCAGAGGCATACCTGAGCCCCTTCTCATTGTGTGTCTTAGGGGAGGGGTCTGAACTTTGAGGAGTGTTAGGTTGGGATTTATGTGTGTTGGGGCGCTGGCACAAGGATCCAGAAGCCATTGTCTGGTTAAGCCTGGGACTTGGAGTTGGAAGATAGAATTGGGACTTCTCAGATCCCTGAAGAGTGGGGGTTTCCAGTTTGGGCCCAGCTGAGGCCTGAGGAAGGAAGGGAGGGAAAGGCTGGACAGGGAGACCCTCTGGTGTTGAATCATGGGTGTTGCCGTGGTGACCGGTGATTGATGATGTCAGAGATAAATGACGCTGACAGACGCCTCCTTGTCTGCGTGGCCGTTGCCATGGAGCCTGAGCCTTGGGGGATGGGGTGGGGGAAGGGGCTACAGGACCCCCTAGCCCTTTGTGGGGAGGACAGTGGAGAGGGAAGTGGGGAGGGAGCATAGGGAGAGATGGTTCTGACTCATGCATGAAGAGCCCCAGAAAGGAGCTGAAGGGACCTGGAGTCTCCTGCCACAGGAGACTGGGGGGTACCTTGTCCTGAGCCCAGAAAGTGGTGGCTTGCCATTGCAGAGTGGTTAGCAACTTGGGACCCACCAGCCTGGAACCTTTTGCATAAGGTCCACCACCTCCTGCTCTCTCTGTGTGTGCCACCTTCTCTGGCAGAAGGACCAGGGTGGGGACCCCCTCTCCCTCCCACCGCCAGCTCCCCCTCCCCCGCTGCTCTGTGCCCTGGAGCTGAGCAGCTGCCATTTCAATAGAATTAAAGCTTCTGAATGATAAACGTCTTGTCACAGCTGCAATTTTCTCTTCCCAAATTATCCCCCCACTCTCCCTCTCCCTCTCCCTTCTCTCCCCTGCACTTTATTGAATTTGCAGAATCGACATGAGTGATCTCCAAATTATGCCAGCTACCCCCTTCCCAGGCCCCCTCCCCCCACCCTCTCTTCCTCTCGCGTCAGCAGCAGCCACCACCGGCCCTGTGAGTGATTGTGTGTCTGGGATAATCGGCTGGTAACGACCCCATCGCTTCTTTAAAGCCGAGTGGTGTGTGCGGCTCAGCGCCCCTGGTGATTTGTCAGCTCCCCAGCTAATGGGCCGAGAGATTCTCCTGCCGGCCCCCCACTCTCCGGCTGGGGAGCCTGCTCCCCGCCTGCCCAAGGAGCTGCTCATAGTCAGTCCCAGCGACCCCCAGGGAGACTGCTGCCAGGATGGCTGAGTGGAGGCAGGAGCAGGTCCTTTTGGGGGGCAGGAGGCAGAACACAGAGGAGGGTGATGCACACCTGGAGTGTGGGCTGGAGTAGACGTATGGGGGATGGCAGTGTGGCCAGCCGTGGGGGTGTGTGCTAGGCCACAGCTGTGGTTGTGGGCCTCTGGGCAGAACTTGGTGTGTGGGTTGGGTGAGCATGGAGGGCTGGAGCATGTGGCCATGCCCTGTCTGATCGTACGTGTGTGTGAGAGAGTATGTGTACGCACATGGGTGCGTGTGTGCGTGCATGTGCTTACCAGCAGGGGTGACCTCCTCAGTAGCCAGCAGCTGGCAGCTCTGTGGTGAGAAGAGCTCATGCTAGGGATGGACCTGGGGCCTGGGGACAGAGTGCTGCCCACAACTGCCCTCTAACCTGCTTTTCTGCCCCCCACAGCTGTGAGGAACGACCGAAACAAGAAGAAGAAGGAGGTGCCCAAGCCCGAGTGCTCTGAGAGCTACACGCTGACGCCAGAGGTGGGGGAACTCATCGAGAAAGTGCGCAAAGCGCACCAGGAGACCTTCCCCGCCCTCTGCCAGCTGGGCAAATACACTACGGTATGGCTCCCCCTGCCTGGCTGGGTGGGCTGTGCCCAGTGCCACAGGGCCAGGATGGCCCCCCCGGGGCACCCTTTCTGCCAGGCGTTCACTCCTCAGCCCTGGCTGGGCCTCCACATCCTCCCCTTTCCCTTCTCCTCCTTCCTCAGGCTGCCTCCTCCCAAGGAGCTCTCAGGAAGTGAAGGGGGGGCAGGCCTGTGGGGGCTGGCAGAGCCCAGCTGAGAAGGGGTGCCTGGAGGCAAAGGCCCTCACTCTCCCCCTTCCCCCAGAACAACAGCTCAGAACAACGTGTCTCTCTGGACATTGACCTCTGGGACAAGTTCAGTGAACTCTCCACCAAGTGCATCATTAAGACTGTGGAGTTTGCCAAGCAACTGCCCGGCTTCACCACCCTCACCATTGCCGACCAGATCACCCTCCTCAAAGCTGCCTGCCTGGACATCCTGGTGAGGGTCTGCCCCCTGCCCCTGGGCACTACCCCGTGCCTTGGTAGACATCCTTCCAGCCAGCAGCCACCCTCCTAAATGTCCACCTGGAATTGACCTGTCCAAATGCTCACCGCCCATATAACCACTCTTCTCTTCCCCATATATCTACCCGTCCACCTACCTACCTATCCAGTTAGCCACTCAGAACCCAAGTGTGCATGGTTCACCCGTTCCCCTGTACATGCATCGTCCACCCTTTCTCCTCCAGCCAGTGAATCTCCATGCAGCCACCCACCCATCCGTCCATCCATTTAGTCTGTAATAAAGGTTCACCCAGGGCTCTCTGGCCAGTCCTTGAGCTGGGTGTCAGGAACCCAGAGGTGAACACAAGACCATCCCCTCTTGAAAACCTTCCATGTGGTGGAGGCAACAGATAAGTCAACAGAGGTTGCAAAACTGTGATAAATGTTGGCTGGAGATGGGAGGAGGGCCGTCGCCTGCCTTGGTCCCAGAGGAGGTGGCACCGAGGGGTTTGTAGAAGGGGCGGGTGAGAGGGTGTCCCTAACTTAGGAGCAGGAGGTGAAAGGTGCTGCTGTGAGGCCATTCTGGGTTCAGGGCACTACAGGGCACTTGGCCAGCCTGAGCCAAAGGCAGGTCCAGGGGTGGGGGATGGGGAGTGGGGAGCAGTGGCAGGAACTGCCAAAGCCAAGGTTGGAAGGAGGACTGTCCCCCCTGTTATCCCTGACAAGGCTGAGTCCATCTGTTCCCTCTGGGCCACCTCCAGGGTAGGGAGCCTGGGATTTGGTGGGTTTCTTTGTGGGATGCCTCTGACTGAACACTGGGGTGGGTGAGGGGCGGGAGGTGTAGGTGTGCGGCCTGCAGGGCAGCCTCCCGTCTCCACCCCCAGATGGAGGAGGCGCAGCCAGAGTCAGCAGGGTTCGAGCTGGTACTCGTTTATTGAGCTCCTCTTGTGTGCCCTATCCTGGGAACTGTACGCATACATCTGTCATGTTCTTTGTCTCTTGGAAATTCTAGTTCTCCTCTAAATTCTCTGCATGGAGGCAGGATGACCTAGACCTGCACCATCTAGTGTAGTAGCCACTGGCCACGTGTGGCTATTTAAATTAAAATTAATTAAAATTAAACTCAGTTCAGTTCCTCAATTGCATTAGCCACATTTCAAGTTCTCAGTAGCCACATGGGGTTGGTGGCTACCATTATTAGATGGTGCAGACGTAGAACCTTTCCATCATTGTGGAAGATTTATCAGACAGCACTGCTCTGGCTGCCTGCCAGGTGGTCCCTGGGGAATGCTGGTGCAGGAGTGCTCCCAGCTAAGTGGCTGGGGCTCAGTCCCTGAACCTGCGCGTCCTCTGCACCCAGATCCTGCGGATCTGCACGCGGTACACGCCCGAGCAGGACACGATGACCTTCTCAGATGGGCTGACCCTGAACCGGACCCAGATGCACAATGCTGGCTTCGGCCCCCTCACCGACCTGGTCTTTGCCTTCGCCAACCAGCTGCTGCCCCTGGAGATGGACGATGCTGAGACTGGGCTGCTCAGCGCCATCTGCCTCATCTGTGGAGGTGGGTGGGGCTGGGGCTGGCGGCCAGGCACGGGGTGGGGGTGCAGCCCCTGGCTCTTAGAGGGGAAAACTGAGGTGCAGAGGGCAGCGTCTGGTCTGCAGCCAGGCAGCAAGGCAGCGGTGTTGGGGGCCTGAGCCCCTGTTCCCTATTTCTGGGAGTCCTCCTGGTAGGGGGATTGAGTGAGGGCTTGATGGTCAGACCTCCCAGGTTCAACTTCTGGCCAGCGGTGTGACCTTGAGCAGGTTGCTAAACCTCTCTGAGCCTGTTTCTGTAAAATGGGGCCAGTAATGGTCTCTATCTCATAAAGTTGATGTGAGAATGAAGGTGGTAATGTACAGTGTGCCCAGTAAATATTAGTTCCCTTTATTATTTTATTGTTGTGATTTCTGCCATGTCTTGCTGTTTCCAGAGTAATAACAGGTGGGAGTGGGTGGCCTGTCTGGGAATCCTTCCTCTGTCTGGGGGCAGCACTGCCTGCGTTTGGGGGTTTCATCCCATTAACTGGGCTGTTAGGGAGGGCCTTGGGTAACTCCACCCTCAGCTCCTCTTCTCCCACATTTAAGGGCTTATGTCCCACTGGCAGCTCAGAGACCTGAGTGCCCTGGGGAGCCACCCAGCTGGACAGCCTGGGCTGTGGCCTGGGCAAGCGCGCCCCCCAGCGGCCAAGGCTGGGAATGCAACTGCGTTCCCAGCTTGGCAGGGGCAGCTGCTCAGTGGGTGGCTCTTTGCTTCCTCAGACCGGCAGGACCTGGAGCAGCCGGACAGGGTGGACATGCTGCAGGAGCCGCTGCTTGAAGCACTGAAGGTCTATGTGCGGAAACGGAGACCCAGCCGCCCGCACATGTTCCCCAAGATGCTGATGAAGATCACAGACCTGCGAAGCATCAGTGCTAAGGGTGAGGCTCCCAGAGCGGAGGGTGCCTCTGACTCGGGACCCGCCGCCCGTGCTCAGGCCAGGCCCCCCACATCCAAGCCAGCACCCCATGTCTTTGCCAGGGCAACACACTCATCTGGGCTCAACTTGTTCTCATCTGTGTCTAGACAAAGGGTTCCCCAAACTCCACCGTGCCCAGGTGACCTCCTGCATGTGTGCCCTAAGGTACTTCTGCATGGTAGTTCAGGGCATGGCTCTGGAACCAGACCTCCTAGGCGTGTGTCCTTAAGCAGGTCACTTAAGAGCTCTGAGCCTCAGTTTCCCATTGAAAATGGGAATAATGGTGGTATTCACAGAGGTGTCAGTAGGGTAATGCACAGCACGGAGGAAAGGCCCAGTGTCAAACCCAGGCAGGCCGTCTGGTGCTGGAGCAGAGCTCAGAACCACTTTGTCCCATTGCCACAAGGCCCTGGACTTGGGGGCTTAAGAAAGCTGGCTATGTCGAAGAACTAGGTCCCAGATTCAGTGTCTGGTGGATGCTGACATATTGGTAGCATTGATCTTCCCGTCCCCAGGGACTGTCCTTCCTAGAGCCGGGCTTGCTGGGCCGGGAGAGTGGGCCGGCGCTGACCTCTGCCTCTCCTTTCCTGCAGGGGCTGAGCGGGTGATCACGCTGAAGATGGAGATCCCGGGCTCCATGCCGCCTCTCATCCAGGAAATGCTGGAGAACTCAGAGGGCCTGGACACTCTGAGCGGACAGCCGGGGGGTGGGGGGCGGGAAGGGGGTGGCCTGGCCCCACCCCCAGGCAGCTGTAGCCCCAGCCTCAGCCCAAGCTCAAACAGAAGCAGCCCGGCCACCCACTCCCCGTGACCGCCCGCACCACATGGACACAGCCCTCGCCCCACACCCCGGCTTTTCTCTGCCTTTCTACCAACCATGCGACCCCCACCAGCCCTGCCCCCACCTGTCTTTCCAGACAGTACAGGGGGACCTTCCCTGGGGGACGGGAGGGAGGAGGCAGCGACTCCCTGGACAGAGGCCTGGGCCCTCAATGGACTGCCCGCTCCCCAGGCTGGGCTGACGTCAGGGGCCAAGGCCGTGAACTGAGTGAGGGCCCCTGGTCCTGGGCCTCAGGGTGGGGCCTGGGGGCCTCGTGTTCATCAAGGTACCCCTCTGCCCACCTCGCCACATCTTCATCACCAGCAAATGCCGGGACCTGGCTCCCCGTCCTCAGAACTCACAAGCCATTGCTCCCCAGCTGGGGAACCTCAGCCTGCCCCCTGCCTTGGTTGGTGACAGAGGGGTGGGCTAGGGGTGGGGGTTCCCCCTGTACATACCCTGCCGTACCAACCCCCAGGTATTAATTCTCGCTGGTTTTGTTTTTATTTTAATTTTTTTTGGTTTTGATTTTTTTAATAAGAATTTTCATTTTAAGCACATTTATACTGAAGGAATTTGTGCTGTGTATTGGGGGGAGCTGGATCCAGAGCTGGAGGGGGTGGGTCCTGGGGGAGGGAGTGGCTCAGAGGGGCTCCTACACTCCCTCCCGTGTCCCTGTGCCCCCTTGCCCTCCTCAGCCTTTTCCTCCTCAGTTTTCTCTTTCAAACTGTGAAGTACTAACTTTCCGAGGCCTGCCGTCCCCTGCCTCGTGCTGTGGAACAGCCAGCCCGCTCTCCCCCTGCCTAACCACTGGGTGTGCACAGCCCGGCAGCCCCTGGAGGGAAGGGCCCTGGCCTTTGCACGAGGAGCAGGGCAGGGGCGAAGCGAGGGGGCGCTCGGAACCCACGGGGTGCGTGTTTGTGCACCCTGTCTCCCTGGCAGAGCTGCCTCCCATCAGGGCCCCTGTCATCCAAGCCCTCCAGCCCCTACTGAGGGGCTGGCCAGGGGTCTTGAGCTGCCCCCGTCCCTTGCCTCAGCCACCAGCACACCTGCAGGGCCCCAGACACACACACACAGACACACACACACACACTGTGGACCGTAGACAGGCCGGCACGCACTTGGCCTGAGTTCCTCCATTTCCCTGGCCAGCCCCCACCCCTACCTGCCCCACACCGTGCCCCCTTCTTGCCCCGCAGGACGGGCCTACAGGGGGTCTCCTCCCCTCACCCCTGCACCCCCAGCTGGGGGATGGGGGAGCTGGCTCTGCCCTGACCTCCGCGACCCGGGGTTGGGGTCTCAGCCCCCTGCAGCCCACTGGTGCACCTGTTACTGTTGGGCTTTCCACTGAGATCTACTGGATAAAGAATAAAGTTATATTTATTCTACACACGCTTCTAGCCTCACTGCCTCCACCCCCTCTTCTCAGGGTCTGGACAAGGGGCTCGGGATGGGGGCTTCCTCATGGGCTCTGGGCCTCTGGTCCCGTATGAGTACTGGGACCAAAGGTTTGGCCAGTGCACGCCCTTCCAAGCTGCCCTCCAAGGCCGGCCTGTGGTGCTGGGGCCTTGGAGAGCTGAGGGAGGAGACAGGCCTACCCTTGGGGAGCTCTCAGCCTGGGGTCTGAGAGAGGAAGCCACCCTGCCCACACACAGTCCTGGTCCTTAGGAAGCCAGAGGCTGGGTCACTTAGTGGCAGAAGAATGCTATTTGGGGAGTGACCACATACTTGACCTTCATGGCAGGAGTGGAGGATGGCACAGGGCTGGGGGTCAGGGCTCATGTGATGGAAGGTTGGGAGGCCAGCCCTCTGCCTCCAGGTGATGGGGCGTCAGGGCGGCAAACCGGTCCAACCGCCTGCCATTTCTACGTCAGCCACCAGGTGGCGGGAGCTCCTTAACTCCTTGCCCCGGGCTGGAGCGGGCTGGCTGGGCAGAGGCGCTTTTCCTCTCTAGTAAATATTTTCGGTTTTTTTTGAGACAGAGTCTAGCTCTGTTGCTCAAGCTGGAGTGCCCTGGCGTCAGCCTAGCTCACAACAACCTCAAACTCCTGGGCTCAAACGATCCTCCCACCTCAGCCTCCCAGAGGGCTAGGATTACAGGCGTGAGCCACCGCGCCGGGCTTCTAGTAAATATTTTCTAATGTCTTTACGAATTTGAAATGAAATTTAGTATGACATACCTGTACACATGCTTTCAAAAATCAATATGTTATCACAACTGTATTATAAAGGAGAAATTAAGGGAACATGCTATGTGTTTCAGCACATTAGTTCTAGCATTTATTTTATTTTATTTTATTTTATTTTTTGAGACAAGGTCTCTGTGACTTGGGCTAAAGTGCAGTGATGTCATCATAGCTCACAGCAACTTCAGACTCCTGGACTCAAGTGATCCTCCCGCCTCACCTCCCCAGTAGCTGGGACTACAGGCATGCGCCACCACGCTGGCTAATTTTTCTAGAGTCAGAGTCTTGCTCTTGCTTGGGGTTTGCCTCTACTTTTTTTTTTGAAACAAAGTCTCACTCTCTTGCCTGGGCTAGAGTGCCATGGCCTCAGCCTAGCTCACAGCAACCTCAAATTCCTGGGCTCAAGCAATCCTACTGCCTCAGCCTCCCAAGTAGCTGGGACTACAGGCATGCGCCACCATGCCCGGCTAATTTTATATATATATATTTTTTTAGTTGTCCAGCTAATTTCTATTTTTAGTAGAGACGGGGTCTCGCTCTTGCTCAGGCTGGTTTCGAACTCCTGACCTTGAGCGATCTGCCCACATCGGCCTCCCAGAATGCTAGGATTAAAGGCATGAGCCACCGTGCCCAGCCACAACTGGATATTTTTTTAAAAAGGTCAGGCCGGGCGCGGTGGCTCACGCCTGTAATCCTAGCACTCTGGGAGGCTGAGGCGGGCGGATCATTTGAGCTCAGGAGTTGGAGACCAGTCTTAGCAAGAGCAAGACGCCATCTCTACTCAAAAAATAGAAAGAAATTAGCTGGACAACTTAAAATATATATAGAAAAAATTAGCCGGGCATGGTGGCACATGCCTGTAGTCCCAGATACTTGGAAGGTGGAGGCAGGAGGATCGCTTGAGCCCAGGAGGTTGAGGTTGCTATGAGCTAAGCTGATGCTACGGCACTCTAGCCCGGGTAACAGAGTGAGACTCTGTCTCAAAAAAAAAAAAAAAGGGAAGAAGGTCAGAAGCCATTCCATATAAGAAGCCCAGAAAAATTAGAGTATGGGTGGATGTGGAAATAAAAACTGGCATATTTAGCTTGGCACAGCGGCTCACACCTGTAGTCCCAGCCATTTGGGAAGCTGAGGTGGAAGCATCCCTGTGCCCAGGAGTTCGAAGTTCCAGTGAGCTATGATCGTGCCACTTCACTCCAGGTTGGGCCACAGAGCCAGACCCCATATCAAAAAACAAAAAACCCAGCATATTCCATCTATACTAAAACTGTGCAAAAAAACCCCCCCAAAAAACCAAACAAACAAAACCATGTACACTTAATGTTTTATGTGTAAAACAGAGTCAAGTTTGGGGCTCAGGTAATTACAAAGAAGTTTTTCACTATGTAAATGTCCAATGGGGCATTCTAAAGTTGTGCACAATTTTTTATTGTGGGAGGGTATCTTGGCATTCAAGGCCCCTTCCCACTAAATGGCAACAGTGTCCCCCACGATGTGACAACCAAAGCAGTGGCCCCTACATTGATACAACGCTCTCTCTTGCGGTAATGCCTTTGCTCTTGGGAACCTCTGGGCTTGCAGTTGCCCTCTTTGATTAACAGTTCCCTGCCATAAAGCAGTTTCTCAACTTCAGCGCTAGTGACATTTTGAGCCAGGTAATTTTTTGTTAGGAGGGGTCTTCCCATGCATTGTGCAAAGTTGAGCAGCACCCCTGGCCTCTACCCATTAGATGTGCCTCCCACCAGCCCACCTTCCCAGCTGTGACAACCAAGTAGGGCTCCAGACATTGCCAAATGTCCCCTCAGGGCAAAACTGTCCCCAGTTGAGAACCACTGCTTAGAACCTGGTCATCAAGGGCTGACCTGCTTTTCACGGAGCCAGGAGCCGTCCTCCACAGGGAGACTGAGCCAGAGGCTGGTGACTGGGTAGAACCTGGGGAGGGCAACCACTGAGTCTACAGGGCCATGCAGGACAGAGGTATTTAACCAGGCTTGGGCAGGGCTCGGAATCCTTCTGGCACTAGGTGGCCCCTCTCAGCTAAATCTCTAAGGGAAACAGTTTGCTAGGTGGGGTGCAGAGGTGATAAGTCAAGAGCTGGACTTGATCCTGAGGCCAATGAGAGTGAAGAGTTTTAAACCAGCAAGTGGGGTGGTGCTCATGTTGGAGCAGAGGAGGCAGGAGCAGGGCTGGGGGGCTCTCCAGGCCATTGGTGATGGGCTGAGCCTGGGCAGCCTCTGAAGGGTGAGAGAAGAGTGGACATGGTAGGGGATGCTTGGGTGGTAAAATGGGAAGACCAGAGGATTGCTGAGATGCGGAAGGTGGGCAGAGGACAGGCTGGGTGGAGGTGGCTTGGGTGGATGGAGGTGCCAGTAACTGAGCTGAGGAACTAAGGATGTTGGGGTTGCATTTGTGGCGCTGTCACCTCTCCCTGCCACTCGCTCCACTCCAGCCACACCAGCCTCCTTGCCACCTGCACTCCCTCCCCCTAGTGCATTTCTGCCTCAGGGCCTTTGCACTTGCCATTCCCTGCACCTAAATGCTCTTCCTGGAGACAGCTTCATGGCCAGCCCCTTGCTACATTCTGTTTAAGTCTCACCTGCTCAGGAATGGCATTCTCTCCCCTCTTACTCTTACTGCTACCTGACATATGTCCTAAATCCACCTATTGTCTGCCTGCCCAGCAGAAGATAAGCTCCACCAGGGCAGGTGTTGTTCACCAACGCAGCCCGACATCTAGATCTGCTCTGTTCTATGCGCAGCCACTACGCACACGCGGAGGTTGACTGAGCCTTGGAAAAGTGGCTGGTCCAGACTGAGATGCGCTCTAAGTCTTGGAAGACTTAGTGTGAAAAAAAAGAATGTAAAATATCTCCTTAATACTTTTTAATATCAATGATGCTTTGAAATGATAATACTTTGGGTATATTGGGTTAAAGAAAATATATTACTAACATTAATTTCACTTGTTTCCTTTTACTTTTTTAATGTGGCTAATGAAAAACTTGAAACTACATATGTGGCTCACATGCTATTTCTATCAGATGCTGCTGATCTCAAACACTGCCTGACACATAGTAGGTGCTCAGTAAATATTTGTTGAATGAATATATGTGGAAAACAGCTGGACATCCAAGTCTCAGTGTGTATGGAGGGGTCTAGGCTGTGGACACTGAATTGTCAACAGAGAGATAGCGGTGCCTGTTGTCAGCGTGGATAAGTGCTTGGGCGTGGTGATGGTGTGGGCTGGGGACACCTTCAGCTTCTCATCCAACACATACTCATTAGGCACCTGTTATGTGCCATGGACGGGGAGAGCGATGCCATCCTGCAGGAGAGGGGCACCTCCCAGTGAAGCGTCGTACCTGGGGCGTCTAGCTCTGACGTGGGGTGGGGGCCATCATGGAAGACCTCTCCCTAAAGTCATCTGTTTTCTTCCCAAGTGAGACCAAAAAGGCCTTAGCTAGGGCAAAAGGAGGCTGCAGAGAGAGGGTGGCTGCTCTGGGAAAAGAAACAGCATGTTCAAACATTTGGGCATGGTGCTTGTTAAGAACAGAAAATGGGGTATCTTTAGGAACCCAGAAACCAGGGGGAAGCCGGTGTGTTGGGGCTGGAGGCTTGAGAAGCTTCCTGAAGGATTTACCCTGAGGGCAGGAGAGCCTCCAGGGGCTTAAACAAGGGGGCTGTTGAGAAAGTCCCCCCACCTGCTGTGCAAGGCACAAGAGGAGAGCTAAGGAAGGTGAGCACATGACTGGGGGCAGGGGAATGCCAGGGACATGGAAGACACTCAAGCAGAGTGGGGTCGTGGCAGTAGCAGGTCGGGCCATGTCAGCAGGGTCTGATGAGGCCCCTGGATTTGTCACTTAGGTCCTGGGTGGTCTTATGGAGAGCAGTGCACCTGGGTGGTGAAGCAGGAGGACAGATGGGCAGGGGAGAGGTGGGAGGGGGCGTGGGGTGGCCCTGCAGACAGCTCTTTGAGCACCTGGGAGGAAGAAGGGGGAAACCAGGGCCAGGAGCACGTTTGCTTTGGGGGAGGTTCCCCCTGAGGATGGAAGGGACTTAACCATGTTTATAGAGGAGGGAAGCAGCATTGGGGTGGGGAGGGTGAAGACGGAAGAGGAAAGGACAACATTCTCTGTGCTGCCCTGCTGCCCCATGCCACCCCTGCTCCACCTCCACGAAAGGGCCCAGCCTCCCTGCCCGGCCACAAGGTGGACAGTGTGGATGTGCTCCCAGCCCTGGGAATGGGGTGCTCCCCTCCCCCTCCCTTCCTGGGTGGGCTCTCAGGAGGGGAGACCTCTTGTGCCCTTGCACGTGGGCTGGGTTCGGGCAGTAGGGAGGGAGCCATTGTGGCTGCTGCTGGCATGGGATCCTGGCCATCCCAGCAGTGCATGTGGGAGATCACCAACACGCACTCGGAGCTCACACCAGATGTAAGTGTGCACACACAGAGAGCTCACAGGATGTACCTGTGTACAGGCGGTGTGCACACACAGTGAGCCCATGCAGGAGGGACACGTGTGCGCGTGCACAATGTACTCACACAGAGCTCGCAAGGTGTACTTGTCCACGTGCGTGCACACAGTTCACACAGGACATACGTGTGTCCGTGTGCAGGCATGCACCCAAGGACTTCATGCATACACGCATATACAAGGAGCTTTCCATGTGCACGTGCACACACAGCTCACAGTGCATGTGTGTGTACATGTGTGCACACTCACAGGGAGCCCACATGGAGGCCACTCTTCTAGTTGAGGAGAGCACCTGGGAATGCTGGTATCGTAGTTGTTTTTGTCCCCAGCAAAACAACCAGGTCACCTACTGCCCTCCACCTTCCACTCTGCTCTGCCCACTTCCCGGCCACTCTCTCAGGCCCGGCCTCCGTCCTTTCCACCTGGATCGTGGCACGGAGCACCTGCTTGAGTTCATTCTCCGCCCCCAGCTCGGCGGGGCACGGCTGCTGGCGGCAGCTGGGAGGGAGCACCCGGCAGGTGCGATGCCACCTCGCGGGCCATCCCCACTGCGTGTCTCCCGCTCTGGCAGGCCCTGCCACACCTCCTGCGGAAGTCACTTCTTGCTTCTGCAGTGACGCCGAGCTGGTGGGGTCCCCACCAGCCTCGGACCTCACTGTCCGCCCGAGGCAGTACCCTCCGCTAGATGGCCAGGTCCTGGCGGCTAGTGGCCAGCGACGCCTTGCCGCGGCCGCTGCCGCCCTCGTCGCCGGCCGGCCCCCGGTGCGCATAGGCGGGCGGGGCGTAGGGGTCCGGGCCGGGGCGCCGGGAGGGCAGGGCTGGCGGCTGCGGCGGGAGCAGCTTCTGCGCCTCCTCGTGCGCGCGGCTACAGCCGTTGTCGCGCTCCCCCGCGCGCGGGCGGCCCTTCCAGAGCAGGTGGCCCAGCTCGGCCAGGCTGAGCAGCGCCGACAGCAGCCCCACGGCGAAGTAGAAGACCACGAAGACGGTCTTCTCGGTGGGCCGGCTCACGAAGCAGTCGACGGTGTGCGGGCAGGGCGGGCCGGCGCACGCGAAGTGCGGGGCCACGCGGAAGCCGTAGAGCAGCGCCTGGCCGCCCAGGAAGGCCAGCTCGGCCAGCAGGCGCAGCGCCACGCTCAGCAGGTAGCAGCGGCGCGCGCGGCGGGCGCGCTGGGCGCAGGGGGCGCAGGGCCCCTCGGGCCGCCCGCGGGCACAGGCCGCCGCCTCCTCCGCGCCGCCCGCCTCCTTGCTGGCCTGGTGCATGGAGTAGATGACGAACAGCACCGGGGGCGCCGAGAGCAGCAGGATGTGGAAGAGCCAGAAGCGGTAGTGCGAGACCGGGAAGGCGCGGTCGTAGCAGGTCTGGCGGCAGCCCGGCTGCAGCGTGTTGCACACGAACTCCTCCTGCTCGTCCTCGAACACGGCGCCGCCCACCGTGGCCAGCACCAGGATGCGGAAGATCAGCATCACCACCAGCCAGAGGCGGCCCACGAGCGGCGACTGCAGCTGCACGGCGTCCAGCAGCGAGCCCAGGAACGCCCACTCCCCCATGGCGCTGGGGACACAGGGCGGGGTCAGAGGCTGGGGTAGGTCAGGGACCCCCACCCCTCCCGCGCCATCGGGGTGGGGTCAGTTAGACCTCTAACTTGAGGGCGAGTGTATCAGGTAATTCTCAACCCTGGGTTCCCTTCCCTTTGGGCCGACGGTGCTGGGTGGGGAGGAGCCCCACCCCGACCTAGCCACACGCCCCCAGCCTGCTTGGTTAGACCCTATGCGCCTCCAGATTCTAGAAGGGGCGTCAGGGATCAGCAGGGCCAATCCCTGACTTGCCTGGTAGAAGCAGACACTCAGCAGGGACCTCACTGCCAAGGGTGCTTGCCACGGGCAGAGTGGGGCCTCGAACCCGGGACTCCAGGCCCAATTTGGTGCCGCTGGGAGAGGAGGGAGCGGCAGACCCAGGAAGACGACTCCTCCACCATTTCTCTCACCATTTTTACTGCGGTGAACTCCTCTCAGGTTGGGAGGCTGACACAAAGTAGCCCCTACTTCCACAACTCTCACGGGGTCCTTGTTGGAGGTGTCCCTGCACTCCTACCCCAGTGCGGTGGGAACGCGGGCCCAGGCCTTCGCTCTCCTCCCTGGGGACCTCTGCTTCCAGTCCCCAAATCTCCTGGGAACCCCCACTGCCCCTCTCACATAGGCCCCTGTGCCCCCAAACCCTCACCTGACCCCACTCACCCTGGGGCTGGAGCCGAGGTGTCAGAGCTGAGCGAGGGACCTTGAGAGGTGGCTGGGACCTGTTTCTCCTGCTCTCTCTTTCATTTTCCCTTTCGGATTTGGCTGGGATGGATGACAGGACAGGATGGCCAGAGGGGCTCGCTCTCCCCCTTCTCTTAAAGGGACAGGGAGACCCTGCTGCCTGGCTCCACCCTTGGGAACAGATGCAGGGCCATACCCCTTGCTGGGCTCTGCCAGCCCTCCCTTTCCAGCCCTCCCCCAGCACCCCCATAGCTAAGTCTCCACCTAGAAATGGGGGATGGGTTAACCAGAGCCACATCCTTTATCAAGGGAACCAGGGGAGCCATGGCAGCCCGCCAGACTCCTCCACACTGGGGGGCGTAGATCTGCTGCTAGCTGTGTCCCCTTGAAGATGGTCTTCACCGATGGAGGGAGGTTCGCTGCTGGCGGTTAAGGAGCAGCAAACATCTAACAGCTCTGGTTCCAGTCTGCCACTGCTCACCTTGGACAAGTCATTCAGCAGCTCTGGGCTGGGTTCTCCTGGCTTCGTATAACTGAGGAGGCTAGGCCAGCTGACCCACGATTTCTTCCAGCTCATTGTCTTCAAGTTGAGGTTCCAACCATGTTACAGGGAACCAAATGTTCTCTGGGATGTCTGGAAGAACTCCCATATGGAAAGACATTAAACTGTCGAGTGTCTGGCTTTGGTAGTTGAATGAAGTCTGTGGTTTCTTCCTGCTTTTTCTATAATTTCCCAGATTTACTATAATGAACATGTTATTTTATAATGTGAAGTGTAGAAAACTTCTCCCCCCCCCCCACAGAAGGCTCTGAATTGAGAGTCCATTCCTACTGCCCTAGGTGGCTGGGAAGCTGTCCCATGGCGAGGAGAGTTAGGGTGACCGATGGTGATCTGAGCAGCCAGGGATGGGACACTCCCAGGTTAGGATGTTTTATTTGTCCCGTCTTCCTAGGAGTCTGCCCCACCACACAGCACTCCCCTCCTCACCTGCACACCTGGGGGGCCAGGCCCCACATGGAGCCCAATTAGCTCATTCAATCCTCCTTTGAACAGTGGCAGGACGGCACTATTTACAGGGGAAACTGAGACTCAGAGGGTCTAAGCCACTTGCCCACAGTCACGTGGCCAGTAAAGAGCAGGTCCCAGCCCCATGCTGGCCTGGTGGGTTCCAGAGCCTCAGCTCTTGAGCCTTTTACAGAACTGTCCTCCACCTAATCTGGCTGGGCTTTTCAGGTGGTGTCCCAGAGCCCGACACCTGTGCAGCTCTGAATGGCCAGTGCAGCTCTGAATGGCCAGTGTCCGGTGGGGTTGGTGAGTGCAGGCACTGGAGGTGACCAAACCTATCTCTTTAAGGGGGAAGGTGCCACTTCCTCTCCCTGCCCACCATGAGGGCCTGTGTGGTTTTCCATCTGCTCATGGGGCCCCTCAGGCCTGCTTTCAGGAAGGGATGGGAATGTGACTTCCCCCCTCCCTAGCTCAGGGTCCCAGCCCAGTCTGGAAAAACTCTAGGTGAACCCCTGCTTAGGCGTGCCGGGGAACCCTCCCACCCTCGTGCAGGTTCCCTGGGGAGTGGGCCTGGGTGGGGGGACGCTGCCCTGGAGAAAGTCCAAAGGAAAAAGCACAGTGCTGGGGCCCCGCATTCTGAAAACAGGATGTGGGGTGGGGGCACTTTGACTGCCCCCTCTCTGACCTCAGCCTGCTCCTGGCAAAGCTGCTACCTGCCCCCTGCCCCCAGCCACAGGGGCTCAGGGTCACACCTCATCTTCCCTGACTGTCCAGGAATGGTCCCCACCCCATCCCTGTGACCACAGCTGGGTCAGGCCACTGGCCCAGCCTGGAAAAACCCCATCAGACCCTGTCTGCCTGTCGGGAATGGAAAGTGGCAGAGGTGGTGGGCTAGGGCGGGGCGGGATGTGGAGAGCCCATGGTCACACCTCACTGTCCCTAGCCCCTGATGCCACAGGGCCAGACACAGGAGACTCTACAATCTCAGGGGCCCAGGCTCCTTCCCAGATAGCACCGTCCAGCCTGGGAGGAGGTGTCACTGATGCTGCCCAGAGCTGGCAGCCCGAGGCCGCGTTCTTGGCCATGCTTGAAGACTGGGCAGGGTTGAGAGGCCCATCCTGCCCTGCTCCGGTCTCTGTTCCAGACACCTCTCCCTGGCCTGTCGGATTGTGGGGCCACTGCCCACGTCAGTCACACACAGACACACGTATGCAGGCTTTTCATGTTTGTACCCAGTAAATTAATCCCAATGACATAATCAAGACATGATTGTATTTTGTCTCCTTGCCCCGCTAACATTTTAAAAAGTCTTTTCTGATATGTTGCCTTTCAATGACGCCTTCCCTAGCTGCCCCGACTGAAATGTAACCCCCTATTTCCTGTCCCTTTTCAGCTTCATTTCCTTTGCACTGATCACTTTATAGTTTTCTTATTTATCCTGTTTAGCACCCATCTCCCCCATTAGCACGTACACTCCACAGGACAGACACGGAGTTTTGTTCTGTCCCCTGTCCCCAGGGCCTAGAGCAGTTCCTGGCACGCAGATGTTCAGTAAGTGTTTGTTGGGGGAATGAAGGAATGAAGTGGGGCGGGAGGGGTGGGGAGGGTGCAGATCTTCCCTGCCTCAAGATGGTGCAAACTCTGTGGGTCCCATGCCTCAGCCGCTCACTCCGGTCTCCTCTAGAGCTTGTGGGCACTTAAGTGGCCACCTCAGTCTCAGCTCAGTGATCAGAACATCCAGAGAGAAAGGGCACCCGAATGGGTTGATGGTAAAAATCTCCCGCCCCAGCCCTGCTGGCTTTGGCCCAGATGTCTGGGTAGGAAAGGGAGAGGGTGGGCACAGTTGGTTCCTCTTGATCACTTCTGGTCCCTTCCTTGCCATTTCTGACCTTCTAATTCCCCGGCGGCCTGAAAACCCTGCAGGCCGGAAGACTTTCTGTTCACCTGGGCGCCCCGGCCCCCCACGGACCCCTCGGGCTCTGAAGTACCACCACCACCTGGGGCCCGCCTCCGCAGCCGGCCTTAGCTCCTCCTTTGGCCCCATAATTTTTAAGATTAGGTTCGGCTGGAACAACAAAAATACGAAGTAGTGGCTTAAACAAGAGAAGCTTGTTTCTCTCTCACATGAAAACAGGGCGAAGTGCTGCCCAGGCCCCCAGGCCCCAGGGCGCAGGCTCCTCCCATGCCCCGCCCCACAGGCCCGCTCTCTCAGGGATGCCGGGAAGCTGTCACGTGACCTATCTGCTCACAGGTCGTTGGCCACATCTGTTCGCAGGGGAGGCTGGGTAATGTAGTCTATTCTAGGTGGCCTAGTGCCCAGGTAGGGAGAATGCAGCCCTCAGTGTCACAGATCTGCTTCTCTTGGGGCGTCAGAGGCACTCGGTTCCCCCCATCAACCGTGCATGTGCAGCTTCTCCCTGAAGGAAGAGGGAAACCTCCTCAGACTTGCTTGTCACCTTGACCCTAGGCCCTTCCAAACCAATGCACCTCTTGAGTTTTCCATGTGTCTCTGGCAAGCCCCATCCCTTCTTTCCCGTCCTTGGGCGGAGGGGTCATTAGTGGAAGCCCCTACCTTTTCACGCAATTTTAACCTTGCTCCGTGAGGACAGTAACTGTACCTGAAGGTGTCTGGGCCCTGCAGTAGCCTCATCTGAGTGACCAAGGGGGTGGAGGGTCCCTCTCTTCCATTCCTTGAAGCCCCAAGTGAACTGACAGGTGAGAGAAAGTGCTTTGGGATTGGGGGTGGGGAAGGGGAAGGGTTTGAGTAACCTAGCAGCATCTTTCAAAGTTCCTTTCCCCTCTGTGCAGCTCTGAATAGCCTGTGTTTGTATATGTTAAGATGTATAAGCAATCACTGTCACTGCCTGGAGCCTGGGGGTCCTGACCCTCTTTCTGTCACCCCAGCCTTGTGATCCTGGACTTGGGGCCATGTTGAGAGAGTACTCTGAGGTCCCTTCACTTTCAGCATCTCTCAAGGAGGACTCTGCAGGGCAGAAGTGGGATCAGGTCAGATCAAGATCAGTTGACTGGCAGACCTTAGCAGTTCCCTCCCTGAAAGCAATTCTCCTAGATCCAAAAAGCTGTACTTGGCACACATTCTGGAAAGTCACTGGGGGTTGAAAGACAAGGTCATCTGTAGATGGGGTTTCCTTTCCTCCAGCTAAAATAACATTTACAGGTATATCTTTTTTCCCCTAGTCTTTTTTTTTTTTGACACTGAGTCTCTTTCTGTTGCCCGGGCTAGAGTGCCGTGGCGTCAGCCTAGCTCACAGCAACCTCAAACTCCTGGGCTCAAGTGATCCTCTGCCTCAGCCTCCCGAGTAGCTGGGACTACAGGCATGCACCACCATGCCCAGCTAACATTTTCTATATATTTTTAGTTGGCCAATTAATTTGTTTCTATTTTTAGTAGAGATGGGGTCTCGCTCTTGCTCAGGCTGGTTTTGAACTCCTAACCTTGAGCGATCAACCTGCCTCGGCCTCCCAGAGTGTTAGGATTACAGGTGTGAGCCACTGCGTCCAGCTTTTTTTTTCTTTCTTTTTTTTAAATTTTGCTTGGGCATCTCATCTGAACAGGTATATCTTTTTACACTCATCAGGACGTATCGGGACCACCTTGAGGCCAATGAAGATACTGTTGTATCTAAAAGAACACAAATCTAACTCCTGAAAGTACTGAAGAATGTAAGAGAGAATGTAAAAATGATACAACTGCTGTGAAAACTAGTTCCTGTTTCTTATAAAGTTAAACATACTCTCAACAATTCCACTTCTAGGTATTTACCCAAGAGAAAGGAAAATATATGTCTGAAAAAGGATATGTACTCTAATGTTCATAGCAGACTCTAATGTTCATAGCAGCTTTATTCATAATGGGCCCAAACTGGAAACAATTTGAATGACCATAACAGGTGAATAGATAAACAAATTAATACAATGGAATAATAATCAGCAACAAAAAAAGAAGGAACTCTTGATAGCTGCAATATGGATGAATTTCCAAAACACGCTGAATGAAAAGAAGCCAGCCACAAAAACATGTGTACTGTGATTCCATATGACATT